CCCAACTATACATACGCTCTAAGTTTTTAATTTATTACAAAAGGCTCATTTACATGACAATAATAACGCACATACAAAGCTTAGCTTTGGTACTCCATCAAACCATCTAATTTCTATCTTACCTAATCCTTATAATCCAAAATCCTCAACGCTCATGTTTTGTCACAAATAAAATCATAGATGCTCCACATGAAATATATGAATGAAATGAGAAAATAATTTTACTCCGGGATTAAAATCCCCCAAGAATAATTACGTACTAAAAAATGGCCGATTAGTCTGACTTGACAAAACACAATGATGTTCTTGTCATTTGAATGTTAATTTCAATTGTACTAGAGATTTTACAGTTAACATGGTGCTGATTTGGCCCGAACCATGTATCTTTCCTTTTACAATAAACTCCAGACTTGCCCTAGCCCAATTGTTTCCAGACTTGCTTCCTCATCACTTCCTGATAACTTTCCTAGCCGACTATAAAGAAGATAGGCTAGAAATCTTCTTACTTAAAAATATTTAGTGTGTACTAACATCGGGTATTATCTCGACAAATCTGTTCGTGCCAATATTATTGATTTTTCACATTTGCAGGGTGTATTTTATTAATATAGTTGTAAATTTCGATTTTTAAAATTTATTAGTTAAGTTACAATTAAAAAAAGTTTTATATTTTGTAATGAAGTAGGCACGCACATTCAGTGAGGTACTGGATTCATACTTTCCACTATTATTATCGATTTAAGGAGCCTTCCTCTGCTGGCTTGCGAACTATTCAGCTCAAGGAGGAATAATTTTTCTTATAGGCATTTAATTTATTTATTGTAAACCAAAGACTTCCTGTCCTACAGTTTTCTTTAACAATACTCCACTTATCCTGTTGAGCAAAACCGATACCTAGGACTCCACCTGCACAAACGACTAACTTGGAATCCTCATACCAGACTAAAACGACAAGGAACCGCTCGACGTTTCCGATTACTTCAGCACTTACTAGACACACGCTCTAAACTTCCCATTAATTACATAAGACTCATATACTTGACTATAATAAGACCTATCTGGACTTACGGAGTTGAGCTATGGGGCTCCACTAAACCATCGAATTCCTCTCGCATCCAATCCTTACAATAAAAAATCCTTCGTAAAATCTTCAATGCTCCTTACTTAGTCACTAATAAAATTATCCATAAAGATCTTAATGTTCCTTATATTTCAGATCTGGCCCAATCCAGATACCTATCCTTCCATAATAAACTTCAGAATCATCCCAACTCTCTCGTTTCTAACCTTGCTTCCTCTTCAATTCCTGATAACCCTCCGAGGCGTCTGAAAAGAAGATGGCCCCGTGATCTCCTAATGAAGTCATATCATTAGAGTGCTACCATTGGGTAGTTACTAAGCAAGTGTATTCATGTCATTATATCTATTATGTCCAAATTTACTTGATGTATTTATGTAATACAGTTGTAAATGTCATTAAGAAATAAAATAAAAAAAATATTTATTTATTAGTTTGGATATAATAAAAACATTTATAAAAATGCCTTGCCAAACAAATTGCACTTATGATAGCTCAAGGAATCCCAAGACGTTTAGAGACAAGGTAGATTTAAGATTTTTGAAGTTTAAACCTAAAATTCTAAAACCTAAAAATTTGAACCGGTTTCGAAATATTTATATATGGGCCTAAAATGGCCAGTGATAAACGAATAAATGTTGCTTACTATAATTACTCTGTAGCTGTTGAAGTTATTTAACGCAATAACTTTTTGGTTTAAAAATTGGTGCAGTATAAAGGAGAAATATGCCAATTTCAGCATCACAGTTCGCAATTACTCAGCACCATAGACAACAGAGAGCGGTGTAGTTGATAAGCACTGATTTCCTAAGCTCAAAATTCCACATTCGAATCCGACTGATTGCAAGTAATTTTTCATAAGCCGTGATTCGACTCTGGTTCAGGAAGACCTTCCTGAGACACACCCAGCCTTTTTAAAGATGTCAATCCTCATTTAATAATCATTCAAGAGAAAAAAAAAAGTGGCGGTTGAGCGTGATATCGGCCCGATCGCTTCTCTACACTAATGTTGACCTTGAAACAGCATTTCCTTACTAGAAGTGCTGAACCTAAGATCTTCGCGAGTTATAGTTTATCCCCTTTCTCCCTTTTTTTAAGGCAATAATGAATTTTGTTAGATTTCTTTCGTTTAAAGAATTCGATAATTATGTTAAAATTGTTAGATTCATGGGTGTTTGTTATTGGGATTTAAATGGGTTTGAACTAAGATGGGTGTTTAAACTTCGTTATTCTTGAATTAAGATTTCTTCGTAATTTTTTTATTAAGATGGATGTTTAAACTTCGTTATTCGTTATTTGAATTTAACCCCACGGCTACTTCATAACGAAAATACAAATTTTCTACTATTTAATTTAGGTCCTTTGCCGTTTCTTAGGCGCATTTTTAATTTTTCTTTGAAATTCGTCTTACGTTTCTAGAAGAAAGTTCTATTCAATTTTTTTTATTTTTATTTCTCTCCACAATGCCTCGTCTACGAATGATTATTTTAAGTCTGTGAATTTTGCTCTTCATTCGTGGAATTATCAATCAATTATCATTGATTATCGTCCTCAATAAAGTTCTCTTCGGACTGTTTTTCATTTATGAATCGATGACCTGGACATTGTGGATGTTGAATAGATGCTGTCTGTATTTCAGAAGCTTATTTCCTCCAGTATCGTATAAAATATAAATTTAGCTGTTTTTGAATCAGATGGATGTAGGCTGATTGGAATGGTTTTTTCTAATAGAATATCAGCCTGGGATCACGGTGCATTTTTTTTATAAATGTACTATTGTGGTCCTCAACATTGCATGTTTTACAATTTAGGACAGTTTTGTTACCGAGTGGTATCTTTACATATCAGCTATAATTGTTTTTAACAGATGTTTCTGACATTTCTATTGAATTTTCTTTAGAATTGAATTGTATGCGTACAAATCATCTTCATGAAAATGTTGGATCTCTCGTCATGTATTTTACTCTAATGGTGACTGATTTTTAATCAATAACAAAAAAACTATACGTAAATTTTTACATTATGTTATAAATATGCAAGCCAAATTGATTTATATAGTAACATATTTTTAAAAATGTATTTATGTATCATCGGTCTATTTTTTATTTAACGTAATAAACTCATAAAAGTGTTTATTCAACATTAGTTACAAAACTCCCTATAAGAGAAAAAGTGAACATAATGTAAAACCTGACTAATATTTTAAACTCATTCAAAGGAAAAGGTTAATTCCACCTAAATCTGACAAAGAACGAGTAAAGCATTCTTTCATTTCTTCATGCCAGGTTCTTCTTAGTCTACATTGTATTAAGTCCAACTATTTCTAACCCTTACACTTCCCTTGAAAACACCCTTTTCCTTTAAGTATCCAAATTTATTTAGCGATATTTTTTATTCCTTTCATCGTGCATTTTTACTTCATTTTTTTAAAAATATTTATTTGTGTTATGCACTCTGAATATCATGCAGATCTTTTCCGAAATCTGTTTTTGTAATAAGAATTTTCTCCCTTCATGAACCAATATCCTCAATCCTCAATACTATATAATACTATTTATATATATTTGGTTTGATTATATTAATGATTTTCCTAATCCTTAATACTTAGTTATGCATGAATATTCACCTATGTATTCTACTTAAAATCCTTCTTTTTATTTTTATGTTATATTGTAATCATTTTCTGTAACAGTTTTAAAGTATGAACTTATTCCACGTTTTTAAGAGAGTATTCAATTCTCTCGGACATGGTGTTCAATGCTAGATGGTATTTTGAAGAAATTATATGAAATTGTTTCGTAGAATCAAGTATGCTCGTAATTCAAATTTGTAGTAGCAAACTTAATTCCTAATTTGAATATTTTTTTTTCAAATGCGCTATACATATTTTACCATACTACGATAAAGATAGACCATACCTATTTCATTAATGTTCGTTTTAGCGATTGGAGGAGTAAGGTTCTTTTCGCGGTCCAAGAGAATTGACCTTTTATATTTATTTTTACTTTTTTTTTAGTTTTTTTCATATTTGTTTTAAATGTACAGGGTCGGATTAAGGCCGTAATGGCAAAGAGACAATCACATAAACTTGAAGATAATCTGATAAAAAATTACGAGTTCTCGTCCTGAAACTGGGAACATGGGGCTTTAAACTTTGGTTTTAATCCATCGCTTTCTTCGTTGTCCGAGAAAAACCCGTTTTAATAACCGTTTAATTAATTGAAATTTTAATGATTGATTTATTTTTAAAGATGTGAATATGTTTTAAATTCCACTGCTATGTCACTCAGACGGAGTATTGTCACGGAGGAGACGGAGTACCTTCTCTCACTTGAGTTGTTCAGTAGGCAACAATAAACTCAAGGAATCTTTCTCTACACGGTGTATGCCACCTAGCTCAAATGAATTTTAAATCTTTCGTATTGCAAAAAAACGTTAAGCTCGTATTTTATTATAATAATCTGTTTTACTTTATAAGAGGGTTATTTTAAAAAATATTTCTTTTATTTTAATTACGATTAGTATCCAATTAATATCTTTTAATATCTTACCGTCATTTTAAGGAGACCCGAACAAAATAAGAAAAACTTAATTTTTTTTTTGTTATATAAAAATTTTAATTTATTTCGGGAACAATAAATAAAAAATTAGTTCCAATATACAGTATGCAATTCGTCATTTTAGTACTTTTCAAACATGGAAAATATTTCTTAATGGAAAAATAATCTGTTTATGTGAAACAAAATGTTATAATATTTTTATGTTTATGGAGATATAATATATTAGTAGATCATATTCTACAGCTTTTTTAATTAATAGCTCCACTTTAAACATTATTCTGGTTATAATTTAGGAATTGTAAAGCAAGCGTCCTTTAATTCTTAAAGTGTAAACAATTTATCCATAGCTCCATCCAACATATTTATGAACTATCAGTGTACGAGATGCTGAGATAGAAAGGATATGGATTGGTGATGATGAAGAGGCACCAAGTCCTCGGGCGGGAATGTTGGTCGAGGTACTTGAGCGAGATCTGGACGAAGCCGGGGTAAGGCAGCGACTCCTCCTCCTCCAGCTCAGACAGAGTGAGGTCCGAGTCAGAGCACCCTCCCCCCATCACGTAGCCTCCACCATCTGAAACATACAAACACAAATAGTCACCAATATGTCAAAAATAGTCAATTATTTGTCAAAATCTTAATTTCAACATTTTAGTACATAATTGTCAACGGTATAGTAACTTAAAGTAATAATAGACAACCAAAAGTAATAGTCTAAATGAGACTTTTATATAAATTATAATATATATCTTTGCATTAAACTATAATGTATTGTAGGAGAAGAAGATGATAAGGGGGTGCGGTCAAATAAATATTAAATTAAACAAATTGTAATTATTTAATTTTTGCCGACGTTTCGACCTACTTTGCAGGTCTTCATTTGAGTGTTTCAACTGCCTCCCGCAGTGCTATATCCCACGCCCTGATGAAAACCTGCAAAGTGGGTCAAAACGTCGGCAAAAATTAAATAATTGCTATTTGTTTAATTTAGTATTTATTTTATCGCACCCCCTGATCATCTTCTTCTCATATTATATCAACGGTCAACCATCTCTACATCATTATAATATATTGTGTTCTTCTCCCCCTTTCGGTTTTTCTGTTTGTTGTTTTTATGTCATTATTATACATTTCTTATATGATGAATTAATCCCTGAAGTGGATTGTTTATCCTGTTTTTAATATGTCAACAACTATATCTGTTGACTCTCGCTGAAACCTTAGTATAGTGTTTGCTATTGCACTGTGAATATGGAAGAAAATATCATTCATTATCGGTGTATTTTGTTGTATTATTTTAAAAAAGGTAAGTGTGCTGCAGAAGCTCATAGAAAAATTTACACTGTTTATGGAGATGATGCCTTAACCGAACGCATCTGTCAAAATTGGCTTCATTCAGGAAATTTTGACATCAATGATGCTCAACGGTCTGATCGCCCATATGAAATTGAAACGAGCAATGTTAAGCCCATTGTTCATCAAAATCCCACCCGATCTGTGCGAGAGATTGCTATAGACCTAAATGTTTCTCAGACAAGCGAATAAAACCATTTGCACAAGTTCGGCTACGTTTAAAGGCATAGTATTTGGCTCCCTCACATAATTTGTTTTCGAAAACCACAAAAATTGTTATAATTGCAATACGACTTTAGCTATCTACAATAAATTTAGCAGGAATTGAGGGCCACTTAAACTACACAAAGTTAAATAAACAGAACCTTCGTAAGCAAACCACAAATGGAGATAAACAATAAAAATATACAAGAAGTATTTGTTTATTTATTCATTACATAGGCTTTAAATAAAAAAACTATTCGTACGGCTTTGAAGAGCAATAATTCAGCTTTTCAACAGATATTGTAGCATTGAACTTTGAGAACATCGTGAAGAGTTATGAATGATCGGAAGGATGTTATTTTCCATCAAGACAACGCTAGGCCCCTCACCTCATTGGTCACTCGCAATAAATTATTATACCTTGGATGGGACCTTTTGTCCCATCCTCCCAATTCATCAGACCTAGCTCCAAGTGACTGCTGCCTATTCCGGTATCCGAAAAAAACCGAAAGGTTTTTTGCCTACCCAATATATGTTTATATTATAATATAAATTATAAATTATAATATATATATATACCTACTAAACAGGGTTTCTCAGTTCTTAATGGCAAAACCACGGGGGTGGAGGAGGGAAATATTTCTAAAAAAGGGACTTTAAGAAGGTCTAATATGGCTGCTGCACTGCTGCACTTGCAGTAACCATGCGCGAGCACCATATATCTGTAATCTCGATTCATGAAATAATTCGACAAAATGATAGGCTTTGCGTTATTAGACCTCTTGGATGTCCCTTTTATCATTGATCTTAGTAAATTTAATCACTATTTTCTTTAAAACATGTTTAATTTACGATCATGAATTTAGAATTTAATTATCTTGAACATTTTATTTAACAATTCCTTCATATTTAATAAAAAAACGTAACCCCCTTAAAAAAACACACACATTTATCCTTAACTCTTTTCCTTTCGGAATCGGATGATCCAAAAATCAAATGAACTTTTGTTTCACCATCAAGAACTGAAATATCCTATATAAATAGGCGAAGACAAAACAGTCAGTCCTCTTTTCTCCTCTGTTTTTCAATTAGTTTTTAATTTTATTATTTTGTTAAGTTGCTGTTGGCTAGCTTTATTTTTATTTATAAAAAAAGTAGTAACAGTTCAAATAAGGAAAATGTTTCTTTGTACAAATCGCTAATCCCCGAAATTTTTTCACCGATTGTTTTGAAATTTTAATATAACGTTGGAATGGCGAAATAGCGAACAAAACACCACAATAGTACAAAAGAAGTGTAAAGATTTTAATGAAACTTTGCTAAAGTCTTCTCTTTATAGCCATTTTCATTTAGGTACGTAACTTATTTCGCCGAAAAGAGGATGACAAAAAAGTAGCGGAGGATTCAGAATTTAAAGTGTTTATAAAGTAAAAATTACACGTTTTTTGAGTATTTGAAACCTTCTTGCATTCCTTGCAAAATGTAAAAAAAAATAAACATTGAATTATCACACCTTACATCCTTTTTTAAAACTTTTTTTCAGAAGAGCTCCATTTTGACAAATTTATATTTGGCATGTTATTATAGTATGAGTACAAGTTGAATTGAAACAATTTTTACCGATCGAAGGAGCAAAGTGACGATCGTTTCAAAATTATATTTGTGAATAACTTAGAAAATAAACAAATTTCACTGTACTGTGTTTTATTGTAAAGAAATAGAAAAATGTATATACGAATATATAAAAATAGAAAAAACAACTCTTCGTTTTCACCTAGACACTTGCCGTGCACTTCCATTATGCAAACTACACGATATTTTGACACTTGCACTCTTGGTAGTACTGCCATGCTATGGCAGGATTCTTCGTTAAGAATGACAGAACGTGTGGAGGGGGCTCAGCAATCGTCACGTCTCTTCTCCCACGTCTCCATTTGGTATTTGTCAAGTTGAAGTAGCTTTATCCAGGTTTTTAACGTTAATATTTTCTAGTCATATACCTTTGCCGAGCCTTTAAAACCAAAATGTATCCTTCGTCCTGGATTCTTCCATCCCTCGTTCACTATTTAACCAAAATCTCCCAACTCCCAAGCCTCCTCCATATAGAACTTATTCCTTCACAAATCCTTTATCATACTTGCTATCTTGTTCTGGAATTCATTGTCCACATCGATACGCTAAGCAATATCTCTAACCTTTTTTAAGCAACTATTTCTCCATCTTCTCAATAATTGATCTTATAAATTGTACATGTAATAATAGTATTTTGTGATATTATCGAAACCTAACAATTATTTTATTGTTAGCATATAAATTGCTTACAGACCCAAATTAGTAAAAGTATCAACATTATTCATGCATAATTTATTTTCTTCATTTAGTACTTGCTTTTATTCTTTTTCATCTACCGCTGAGCGAATTGAGGAGTCTTCTTGTGGTTCGGAACCGACAACTCCCGATCATGTACCAACCGCCCGCCGCCTTCTCCATTCCACATCTCTTCTGTAAAAGGCCTCCCCGGGATCTTTCTCCGAGGCCTTCTTCTATCAATGCTATTTCCTAAGGCAATCATGGCCACTCGGTTCCCTGCAACTCGTGATATATGGCCAAACAGACTCAAACAATCTTCCTCGATCACTTTCTCAACTGGTCTTACGTTAAGGTTTTTTTCTTATTGTGGTATTCCTTATTTGAACTCTCTTTTTTCCTTCTTATTTCTCCGACTTTTTCCTTCGACCCATCGTAGGAATCGCATCTCCTTCAATCTGACGGGTCCATGAGTCGTAGGAGTAGGTCAGTATTGGGGAAAAAATATTTTTGTAGACAGTAGTTTTGGTCTCCTTACTCACTTCTTGTTTGTTCAGAAATCCTTTCTTGATGGCGATGAAGCACCTTCCTGCAGATTTCAACCTTTCTTTTATTTGTCTGTGGACACATTCATACTCATTTATGTAGGCACCAAGATACTTCAAATCCTTCAATTCTTCCTTCTCTCCACATTTATTCGCATGTTTATAATTCTTTCTGATGGATACGGAGGCTAAATTCAATCAACGAAATTCATCGTTTCTGTAATGGGGTATTAATCAAACTTTTATCTTAACGCGACGAAAGTGACGCCGTGAAATGGAGGAGTAAAGGAAAAAATGGTGTCGCAAACGAAATTATTACGAGTTTTATTGAAGATATGGATTAAAATATCTGAGAAATTAAAAATCGGACCTGCATACTGTAAGCCGGGAAAATGTTTCATCATTCCATCCTCTTTATAATGAGCTATTATTTAAAATTTACATTTTATATTATTAAACTCGCCTTGTTGATGTTTTCACTTCTATAGTGTGGTCTAAAGCACACACCTTAGTTGTTTTGTTTTTTTTATATGTGACAAAGGCGAAAATAAATTCTAAATTCCAAATTTATTAACAATTTATCTTGTCAATAAGGCTGAAGTGGGGATATGTACACGATATTGGCTACCAACCATTGATGTAAAATTGAAAACCAAACCAACACTCGACCAAATTCGGGCCCTTTTACAAACTAACACCTGTCGACTGGGCTGCCAGCACTCCCCTATCATCAGGATGAGGGTTCAATAATTCCTAGCACTCCGCTGCGGTCGAGGGTCGGTCGATAACTCTTTTCTAAAGGGTATTGATATTGAAAAAAGAATTTTTTTTTGCATACAAACAACTATGTATTACTTACATAACAAATTTTCCTACAGTGAAGAAATGTCCAATGATTAAACATATAATAAATAAATCATGATTTAAAAAAAAGAATTGATGAACGCATCTAACAACTTTCACTTCCCCCTCTATTTTGAACAGAAATCATGGCCAGGCAGAAATGTTTTTGAAGTACATTTTTAATGGAGCTAAATCTTAAAGAGAATATTTGTAAATTTCGGTCATATTTATCAATGCAAAACTCATTAAGATCATCAAAAATAAACCATATTTATTTTATCGTCGGTATCCAATAAAAATCTCATAATTCCCTCAATTTAATAGTTAATAATTAGAAAATTATTGCTTTAGTACAACCTCTAGTACATTTATTACAAAAAAAAAAATTTTAACCTCCAAAGTTAAAGAAATACATATTCAATTGAAAATCCAGTTACTTATTGCATTATTATAAAGAAAGCTACAAAAACAAATGTTGGTATTTTAGTTTTGTGGCATTACGTTATTTTCGAGGTTTCATATATAGAAATCTTTTCTGTTGTAATTACCTTATTTTTGTATTCTATAATATTTTTATTGAAAGAATAATAATAAAATCTGCCACAATCAAGGATATTGGGCATTAAGGCTCTAAATGTAATTATCTAACGTTCATGTGCTGGAGGAACTAAAAAAAATCCATTCTGCCTGATTTTTTTTAATTTCTCCAGCGGTATGTTTTTGCTTTGGAGTATTATTCTGCTTTACGGCCAAATAATTGTTTTTTATTTTGTTTATTTCAATGGAAACAAGAAGCTTGAATTTTGTCTTGTTATACTTGTTTATTGGGGAGCGGACGGGATGTGTCAGTATCCTATTCTTTCGACACTGTGTCCGAGTCCAGCTGTAACAATTAATTATGCTATTACATAACCTGTGAACGACCCTGGACCCGGGAAGTTCTTCTGGTGCAGATGATCCACAAAGTCTGTAAAATGTTCTTGAAGTATAGCCTCTGGTATTCTTATCACGATAGACATTATTATTTTATTCTAGAATCAAAAATAAGCACATTTTTTGTAAACAATACAGTGCTTACATAATAATTATTTTTAAATCAATATTATACATGGTGGAGTTTTTGTTTAGTTGCTTTGAATAATTTTTAAGGATATATTTTTTTTTTTTTTTTTTGCACTTACATTTATTTATCCGCACCTGTCAATTATTATTGACAATCAGCAGATG